TCGCCATTATACCTGCAGCAGCAGCAGCAACAGCAGCAGCAGCAGCAACAGCAGACTCGTGTCTGTGACGGAGCTAGGTGCGCTGCTGCTGACGCAGGAGAAAGAAGAAGCCGCAGCAGCTGCTGCTGCACTCTCTGCTGTTGCTGTCCCAGGTGTTGCTGTGGTGCTGCTGCAGCAAGCAGCAGCAGATCCTCCTGCTGCTGCAGCGAAGGGTGCTGCTGCTGCTGCTGCAGCAGGTTCCGCTTCTTCTCGCAAGCGCCGAACAGCAGCAGCAGCAGAGGATGTAAGGAACCTCAGCACCGCCAGCAGCAGCAGCAACAGCAGCAGCAGCAGCAGCATCCCTGTGCAGCATCGATTGTATGTTGGAGATGTTGCAACAGCAGCACAGCTGTTCCCTTGCTGCTGCCGCTTCCGTCTTGTGCTGCTGCTGTATACTGGTGCTGCTGCTGGTCCTGCTGCTGCTGCTGCTGCTGCTGCTGTTGCTGACATTGAGGGCCTCTCTTTGTTTGTCGCGCATCGATTTGCTGCTGCATGCGCCGATGGGCTGCTGCTACGAAGCCCCGTAGACGTGGAGCAGCAGCAGCAGCAACAACAACAACAACGGCAGCAGCAAGAGAAGCAGCAGCAACAGAACATCACCTCAGTAGCAACACCGCCGCATGCTGCAACACTAGCAACAACAACAACAACGACAACAACAACAGCAGCAGCAGCAGGTTCTCTTGCTGCTGCTGCTGCTGCTGCTGCTGCTGCTGCTCCTGTTACCCTTGAGGCTCTTCGTGCTGCTGCTGCCTTAGGCGGTCGTCATTCCCTCGTCATTTTGCTGCCTACAGAGATAGAAGATTCCCTTTCTATTACATCTCCTGCTGCTGCTGCTGCTGCTGCAGTAGGAGCAGCAGCAGCAGCTGCTGCTGCTGGTGTTTGCATGTACAAGCCCACTGAGGTGCTGCAGCAACTGCTGGGGAAATACGATAGCCCGCTGCAGCGGAAGTGCGCAGCAGCAATCAGCAGCAGCAGCAGCAGCACCAGCAGCAGCAGCACCAGCAGCAGCAGCACCAGCAGCAGGAGCACCAGCAGCAGCAGCACCAGCAGCAGCAGCACCAGCAGCAGCAGCAGCACTAGCAGCAGCAAGGAGTTCTTGAGCATTTTTGGATCGTCTGTGCTGCACCAAGCTTCGAGAAGACTCCCCTTAACCCCACCACCAGCAGCAGCAGCAGCAGAAACAGCAGCAGTAGCAGCAGCAGCAGCAGCAGCAGAGCCATTAGGCTGCCTGCTGCTGCCCGGACGTCGTCTGCTGCCACTCGATTGCCTTTTTGCTGCTTCAGCAGTTAATGACATAATTGATAACGAGCAGCAGCAGCAGCAGCAGCAGAAGCAACTGCTGCTGGAGCTGCAGCAGCAGCTAGTCCTGCTGCAGCAGCAACAGCAGCAGCAGCTGATGCTGCAGATTACAGCAACGAATGGGCACAAGCGGAGGCGTATTCAATGTAAGGATACAGAGGAAGCAACAGCAGCAGCAGCAGCAGCAACAGCAGCAGCAGCAAAACCAACAGCAGCGACACCAAAAGCAACACGGGGAGGAGCAACCGTTGCAGCAGCAGAGGATGCAGCAGAAACAGCAGCACCTGCTGCTGCTGCAGCAGGTGCAGCACCTGCTGCTGCTGCTGCTGCTACTGCTGCTGCAGCTGTTGGTGAATGTGTTGCTGCTTCTCTAGCTACTGATGACACTTCTCCTATAGACGTATCAGCCGTATGCAGCAGCAGCGCAACAGAAGCAGCAGGAGCTGCTGCTGCTGCTGCTACTGCCATGCCAAGTAACGGAGAAGCAACAGCAGCAGCAAACGTACTTATAGATGTGGAAGAAAGCAGTGCTGCTGCTGCTGCTGCTGCTGATGCGAGCAGCAGAGTTTTTTATACTGCAGCAAATCTGCCTACAGAGCAGCAGCAGCAACAGCAGCAGCAACAGCAGCAGCAGCAGCATGTCGACGGCTCAGACACTGTTGACAGTTCCCTAGGGGAGGGAATAGAAGAAAAGGAGAATAAAATAAATAAAAATATAAATATAAATAGAGGTGCCTATACACCTGAACATACTACATACTGCAACAAAAGCAGCAACATGCTGCAGCTCTGGTGGCTGCTGCCGCAGCAGCAGCATCCGCTGCAGCAATTCTTCTTTTAAGCGTACGTACACCATAAGGTGGTTGCAAAAAAGGAGCAGCAGAACAGCAGCAGCAGCAGCAGCAGCAGCTAGAAGAGACAGCAGCGCACCAGCAGCAGCAGCTAGGAGAGGCAGCAATGCAGCAACAGCAGCAGGTAGAAGAGGCAGCAACGCAGCAGCAGCAACTATACTAGAAGAGGCAATTCTGTAGAGACAGCGCAGCGTCAGTAGCAGTTTCTGCTCTCCCTGTTGCAGTTACTGCCTTTAATATTTGCTGCTACTGCTGCATGCAGTGTTTGCTGCTGTTGCTGTTGCTGCTGCTGCTGCTGCTGCTGCTGTAGGGTACCGGTTTGAATACAAAGGAGCGGTCGTTATAATGCCTAAGTGGAGATTTATTGTTTTTTCTTCTGCTTTTGTTGACTGAAATAATTAAAATATAATTTTATTTAATTTTATTTAATTTTATTTAATTAATTAAAGAAAAAAGAAGGAAAAAATAGGTAAATAGGTGTATGTTTATGTTGTGTGTAGAGCCCCACACGGCAGTACAGTAGCTATAAATAATGTTACGCTATTTATGAAGGAATTTAAAGGAAAAACGAATAAATAAATGATAAATAATTAATAAATAATAAGTTAATTTAGAATAAATAAAAAGAAAAGGAATAAATGGACAAGAAATAAGAAAAATGAGGGTTTATGCAGATACTACATGTAACACCACCGGTACAAGGAAATCTACCAGCCTACAACAAGGGGGGATAGGGAATTCAATTAAATGACGTTAAATCGAGTAAATATTTATGCTTATTTAATTAAATTAAGTCATTATTTATATTATTTTAAGAGAAAAATACAAGAAAAATCAATAAATTGGTGCAGAAGACCTCTTGCGGTGTGTAGGCATGCATGCATACAACACGGTACACACACGAGATCGAGCAGCAGCAGCAGCAACAGAAGGGGAAGGAAAGATGCCCGTTTTTCGCCGTTTCTTTGCAACAAATCATATAAATAAGTTAATTTATGAATATTAGTTCTTAATTGTCATTTATTTGAGGATTTATTGAGGCCTGAAGAGATTATATACCCCCAAGGTAAAGGATTTCCTTCGTCGGGCCGATTTCAGCAATAAACCAGCGTCAGTTAAACTTATGTTAAAAGTTGAATTGTGTATTTCTTCGTAAATTATTGAATATTTTCTTTATTTTTTTTATTTTATGTTAATAATTATTATTTTCTATTTATGCATCACTTTTTTCCTGCAAAAAGCGGTGATTTTTAAGGAAGATCGCCCCTCTTCCTTCTGTTGTTATCCTGCATGCAGGTCTTTGCATGCAAACAAGCAGACCGTTTTTCTTGTTTTACCCCTTTTACTACCTTAATTTTATTAATTAAAAATGGCAGTAAGACATTTATTCAACTCCCCAGCAACAGCAGCAGCAATAGCAGCCATCTGGGTTCTAGGGTTTAGGGTTTTTCTAGGGTTTAGGGTTTTCTAGGGTTTAGGGTTTCTAGGGTTTAGTGTATGATCTTCCTTATTTGTTTGTATATTTTGCTGATTTTCTCTCCTTTTTGTCTCATTTTCTCTCAATAAATAGAAATAATAAATAAATATGTGTATTTAATTAAATATGCAGGATAATGAGGTAGAAGTATTCTTAACCCCTGATGGTTCTTTATACCATCTAGGTGTTAAATCCGGAGAAATAAACCCTCGTATAATTACTGTTGGTGATAGAGATAGAGCAAGCATTATTGCACAAGAATTCCTTCAAGATGTTAAAGAATATGAAAAAACCAGAAATTTCCGCACCTTCTCAGGTATATATTAATTATTAGGGTTTAGGGTTTAGGGTTTAGGGTTTAGGGTTTTGGGGTGTATAGGCAGTTTATCTGATCGATAAATGGATGCATCTGCCTGTATTTTGCATCATTTTTCTTCATTTTGCTCTCCGTTTTTTACTATAAATAAATTAATGTGATTTAATTATATATTTATCCTTTATTTCCTGTATATTTCCTGTTTTTAGGTACCTACAAAGGTGTACCTGTATCTATAGTATCTATAGGAATGGGTGCACCTAACATGGATTTTCTTGTAAGAGAAGCCTCTTATTTATTTCCTAATAAAAGTCTTGCTATTATAAGAATTGGTACTTGTGGTATATTAAAAGAAAATTATCCTCCTGGTACTCTTTGTTTAGCTGATAGAATCTATTATTGTCAAAGGTAAGAAGCCACCGAGGGTTTAGGGTTTAGGGTTTAGGGTTTAGGGTTTAGGGTTTTGAGGTTGAATTTTTTATGGTTTAAATATTATATAATAAATAATACATTAATTAATAGATAATAAATAATATATTAATAATTATTTATTTATTTATTTATTTATTTTATTTATTTATTTATTTTATAGGAATTATGGATATTTTGACGGTATAGCAGATAAAAAAGGAGAAAAAAATAATTGTTCTTCTTCTCCTTATTTAATATCTGGTCCTGTAGAAGGAGATAAAGAATTAATAAATAAAATAAATAATAATTTAAATAAAAAAAATATTAATTTATTAAAAGGAGATACAATTACTGCAGAAACTTTCTATAGTTGTCAGGTATGTATAAGTATTATTTTTTTTTTCTTCTTTTTTCTTTTTTTCTTCTTTTTTTTTCTTCTTCTTCTTTTCTTCCTTTTTCTTTCTTTTTGTTTCTTTATTCTTTTTCTTCTTTTTCCCTCTTTCTTTCTTTATATATAACTACAAACAAAATAAAAACTAATATAAGCCGTATATAACCCTAAGAATAATAATAAAATAACTAAATAACTAAATATATATATATT